CCAAATATTTGGACCTCAATAGCACAATTTTTAGTAACCCACGGGTCAAAGGAGAAATCAAAAGGGAAAATACAGAGTATTTTGAATTGAATGAAACTTAGAACACAGCATATCAAAATGTGTGGGATCCAGCTAACACAATACTTAGATATATAATAGCACTAACTTATAAAAGAAAGCTCTCAAATCAATTTCTACCTTAACAAATTAGAAAATGAAGAGCAATGAAACCCAAAGTTAGCATAAGAACGGAAATAACAAAGAACAGCAATGAATGAAATAAGAAACTGAACGGGGCCAGCCCCCTGGTGCAACCGTTAAGTGCGCGTGCTCTGCTACTGGCAGCCTGGGTTCGGAACCCGGGCGTGCACCGACACACCACTTGTCAGGCCACACTGTGGTGGCGTTCCATATAAAGTGGAGGAAGATGGGCACGGATGTTAGCTCAGGGCCAGTCTTCCTCAGCAAAAAGAGGAGGATTGGCATCGATGTTAGCTCAGGGCTGATCTTGCTCACACACACATACACACACACACTAAATAAATAAATAAATAAATTTAAAAGAAACTGAAAACAAAAAGCAGGTCAATAAATCTTCATTCAGACTGATCATGAAAAAAAGAGGAAATATAGAAGTCACCAACATCTGGAATGGCAGAAGTGACATCACTACAAACTCTAGTTATTAAATGGATAAGGGAATGTCTCGAACCTTATGCAAATAAATTTGACAACTTAGATAAAGTGGAAAAATTTCTTGAAAGAATCAAACTACCAAGCTTACTCAAGAAGAATTAGGTTGGGCTGGCCCAGTGGCTTAGCGGTTAAGTGTGCGCGCTCCGCTGCTGGCGGCCCGGGTTTGGATCCCGGGCACGCACCGACACACCACTTCTCTGGCCATGCTGAGGCCGTGTCCCACATACAGCAAATAGAAGGATGACATACAACTATCTACTGGGGCTTTGGGGGGAAAAAATAAAAATAAATAAAATCTTTAAAAAAGAAAAAAAAAAGAAGAAATAGGTAACCAGAATATCTCTGTATCTATTAAAGAAATGGAATTTGTCATTTAAACCTTCCAAATATTTTCAGATATCTCGCTGTTATTACTAGTTTAGTTCTGCTATGGTCAGGGAATATACTTTATATGATTACTAATTTTTGAAAATGTATTAGTATTTGTTTTATGGTCTCTCTTGATGAAACGTTTCATGTGTACTTAGAATATATATTCTGCTCTTGTAGAGAGTTTTATAAAAAATGTCAACCAGTTAAGTTGGTTGATTGTGTTGTTCAGGTCTTCTATATCCAGATTTTCTCTCTACCTGTTGTATCAATAACTGAGAGAGGAGTGGTGAAGTCTCCAATGATAATTATGGATTTGTCTGTTTATCCTTTCTGTTCTTTTCTCCTTTGTGTAATTTGTACCTCTGTAGTTTTATGCATATATTTAGGATCGTTATGTCTACCTAGAAAATTGATCCCTTTATTATTTTGTAATGTTTCTCTTTATCCATGATTATATTGCTTGTTCTGAAGTCTACTTCATCTGATACTAATAAAGTGATTTCAGCTTTTTATTTAGTGTTTGCATGGTTTGTTTTTTCCCCACTATTTAACTTTTAACTTATGTATGCTTTTATGTTTAAAGTGGATTTCTGCCAGACAGCATATAGTTGGGTCCTGCTTTTTCATTCTGTCTTACAATCTCTCTTTTAACTGGTGTCTTTAGCTCATTCACATTTGATGTAATTTTTTACATATTTGGATTAAAATCTATCTATTCTCTTAACTACTTTCTAATTGTTCTGTTTTTCTTCTTTTTCTGCTTTCTATTGGATTAACTGAGCGTTTTTAATTATCCCATTTCATTTTACCAGCTAATTGTTTATATCTCTTTAAAAACTTTAGTGGTTACTCTAGGGTTTACAATATACATCTTTAAGTAACCAGAATATATCTTCAAATAATATACCATTTAACAAGATTTTACATAACGTATTCTCAATTTCTCCCTCCCGTCCTTTGTGCTCTGTCATATATTTTACATCTGCTATAAACACACAAAATATTTTACTTTTTGTTTTAGCTAGTTATCTTTTAGATATTTAGATAGGCTAAAAGTAAGAAAAGTTACTTTACCATTATTTATTCCATTTGTAGATATTTTCACTTCCTTGTGTATATCCAAGTATCTGTTGTGTTTCATATTCCTTCTGCTTGAAGAACCTCATTTAACATTTCTTATAGAGTAGGTCTTCTGGCAATGTATTCTCTCAGTTTTTCTTTCTCTGGGAAAGTCTTCATTTCTCTATCAATTTTGAAAGATATCTTCATGAAAAATTTCATAAAGACAGCTTCTTTCTTTCAGCACTTTACAGATGTCATTATATTGTCCTCCAGCCTGCATGATTTCTGCTAAGTCTGCTGTAATTCTTTATCTTCGTTCCTCTGAAATTTTTAAAAAATTTAATCTTTCCTGGTGCTGAGCTTTATAGATTTGAGTTTTGGTGTCACTAGCCATTATTTCTTCAAATATTTTTTCTGCCCCATTTTCTCTATTCCTTCTGGAATCCCAATTATGTATGTGTTGAACCAACAGATCTTCTCCCACAGCTCTTGGACGGTCTGTTCTTCTCACCTTTTCTCCCCAATTTGTGTTTCAGTTTGGGTAATTTTTATTGACCTACTTTAAGGTTCACTTATTCTTTCCTTAGCTGTGTCAGATGAGCCTATTGAAGACATAGTTCATCTCTGTTACTGTGTTCTTCATTTCTAGTGCTTCCATTTGATTCTTTTTTTACCCCCCCCGCCGAGCCCCAGTGCATAGTTGTATATCCTAGTTGTAGGTCTTTCTAGCCCTTCTATATGGGACGCCACCTCAGCATGGCTTGATGAGCAGCGCATAGGTCTGTGCCCAGGATCCAAACCAGCGAACCCCGGGCCAGCAAAGCAGAGAGCGTGAACTTAACCACAAGGCCACTGGGCTGGTCCTCCCAATTAATTCTTATATAGTTTCATCGCTCTGCTCACATGACCCATTTAATTTGCCTGCTGTGCACCTTTTCCATTAAAGCCTTTAATATATTACTCAGTTATTTTAAATTCTGTGTCAGAGAGAAAAACAGCTATGTCATTTCTGAGCAGTTCTGGATTGCTTTGTCTCTTGGTGGTGGGGAGGGGTGTTTATTTTTCTTGCATTTTTGTATGCCCTATAATTTTTTTTTCCTGCCAAAAGCCAGATATCTTATGTAGGACAGTAAAAACAGAGATGAAGAGACTTAATTCCTAAAAATGGTCATGTCATTCCTTCTGTTAAGCCTTTAGTGTTTGTGTTAAGTGTGCGTGTGTGGGGTGGTGTTCATTAATATGGTCAGGAATTGGACTAGGTTTAAGGTTTGTTGCTGCCATGGTTACCCTAAGTTCAAACCCAGTCTTCAAACATCACCAGTGATCTCTGAGAGGGCTGGTTTTCCCAAGGGTTTACCTCAATGTCTGGGTCACCTTCAGGTTTAAGCATTCCCTTAGGATTATGCCTCAGAGACAGTCCAGCTATACTAAAATATTTTCATTTATTCATTCAATATTTATTGAGTGCTTACCACTTATGTGCCAGTCACTGTACTAAATGCTTGAACTTGTAACTACCCAGTCTACTACCCTCTGCCAGTGTTTTGTGCATCTGTACTTTCTTTGCCTTCAATAGCCTTCCAACTTCTGTGTCTAGTAAATTCCTGTTCTTTAATACTATCACCTTCTCCAAAAGCAATCCCTGACCCCATGCCCTCCCATCACCATGAGCTCATCATCCTCTGTATTTCTTGTGTACCTTAAACATTTCCATGTTTTAATAACCTGTATTTTCTAGTAAACTGTAAGTGCCTGCAGGCAAGAAGTGTCTTATCAATTTATCTTACATATATTGGGTTTGTGACATTGATTTGGAACCAACCTCTACAGCAGACTGGCAGAGGAATTAACAACGTAGAGGGACGTGTGTGCAGAACGCGAGGGAGAAAAGACAAGGCTTTCTGTGAGCCTTCTGTTGTTTGTCACCCATTTGCTCCAAGGGTTGATTTTTTTATGCTGACTTTACAGAACTGACATAAGTTTAAATGGAACATTCATTGTTCTGTTATCCACATGCATGCTCACCCTTCACAAATCTGGTGGTTGTTTTCTCAGTTGTGGTCAAAGTTAGAGTGACCTAATCCATGTGGTCACAAGTTCTACAAAGTGGTCTTAACAAGATATGGGTGTTCTCAAAAATAGCTTCTGCAGCAGATAAACACACAGAAGAATCGAAGTGTATAGAACCCAATTACAAAAAAGAACTCTGATTTTATTTCTTATATATTTTGCACAAGCTGGAAAGAGGGACTGAAAGCTATGATATATGATGAACAGCTGACATGAAAAGAGCCTGATACACAAATCCAGGGTTTCCCCGATGTTTTGGTCAGCTTGGGCTGCCGTAACAAAATACCATAGACTGGGTGACTTAAACAAAAGAAATGTATTTCTCACAGTTCTGGAGGCTGAAAGTCTGAGATCAGGATGCCAGCATGGATGGAGACTGGTGAGAGCTACCTTCTTGGCTTGCAGACAGCTGCCTTCTTGCCATGTCCTCACATGGCAGAGAGAGCAAGCCAGCTCTCTGCTGTCCCTTTTTTTAAAGACACTAATCCTATCATGAAGGCCCCACCCTCATGACCTCATCTAACCTAATTATCTCCCAAAGGCCCCATTTCCAAATACCATCACATTGGGGTTAGGACTTCAACATGAATTCTGGGGAGACACATTCAGTCCATGACACTCCATTCTCCACCAATCACCTATTGCACACTAGTGTTCTTACACAAAAATAGCAATGTTTATTCATATAAATATAGACAAATTTATTTTCAAATAAAACAATAACAATTTCTCCCTGCTCTGAAGTGTCTTGTTCTTCAGTAGATCCTTTTTCTCCCCTATTAGCCCATCGCAGGCTTATTAGATTTTTCACACCAGGAAGAACATATATCTTCACATCCATGGAGACAGCTGATAATGACTCTATTGCTCCACGCAATTATGAGTGCTATCTTTATCCATGTAAAGACTCACTCTTCTTTATACTCAAGCACAAGTTTCTGTCAGCTGAAAAGGACACCCTGGTTTGCCAGAAAGTCCCTTATATGTGATAGTTCTAGTTCTAAGGGACAAACTCAAACTCTTTCTTCATGTGACCTTAAATCAGGCTCAAAGCCCCATCCACAGAAATGGACTTTACAATTCTACTTTGCTGTATACGTCCAATGAAATAGCTTTAAAACTTGCACTGGAAACAAAATATCAGTGATTCTTACCAAATGAAGAATGGTATTCATTAAAAATGACTGATCCAATCATATGAGCTTGCTACTTTGAAATTAAGACCTATGATAGGTCATTGCCTTAGCTGATTTCAAATGCTCAGGTCAAAAGTCACCCATGACTTTTGCTCTTTGGCATTCAAAGTGGGACACATCAACAAATGGTCCAAAACTTCTGTTATATACAAATGCATTTTTTCCATGCCTCTGCCTCAATCTTTGCTTTCATATATTTAAAACCTCCTTAGGCTTTTCCCTCAGAATGTGAATTCTGATGTCGAATCAGGGATGAGCTCCGACTATATGCCTTCCCACATTTACTACATTCATACGGTTTCTCTGAAGAATGACTTCTCTGATGTCGAATAAGATCTGAGCCACTGCTAAAGGCCTTCCCACACTCATTACATTCATAGGGTTTCTCTCCAGTATGACTTCTTTCATGTAGAATAAGGGATGTGCGTTGACTAAAGGACTTCCCGCACGTTTTGCATGTATATGGTTTCTCTCCAGTGTGAATTCTTTCATGTTGGGCAAGGTGTGCACTCTGACTGAAGGCTTTCCCACACTCATCACATTCATAGGGTCTGTCTTCAGTATGGATTCTCTTATGTCGAGTAAGAGATATGCGATGACTGAAGGCTTTCCCACATTCCTCACATTGATAGGGTTTTTCTCCAGTATGAATTCTCTGATGTTCGATAAGAAATGACTGGCGACCGAAAACTTTACTACATTTATTACATTTGAAAGGCTTCTCTTCAGAATGAATGTTTTGATGTATTTTAAGGTTAGCAGTTCCAGAAAACATCTTCCCACATTCCTTACATTCAAATAGTTTCTTCTTCCTTTTATGAACTTTCTGATGTTGAATAAGGGATGAATGCCGGTTACAGACCTTCTCACATTTATTGCATCTGTAGAGTTTCTTCCCAACATGAAGTCTTAGATGTAGAATAAGGGTTGAAGGCCGCCTGAAGACCTTCTCACATTTATCACATCTGTAGGGTTTCTCTGAAGTGTGAATTCTCTGATGAAGCATAATGGATGAAATCCTATTAAAGGATTTTCCACATTTTCTGCATTTATAAGGATTCTCTAAATGGTGACTTCTCTGCTGTAGACTCTGACTTAAGGTCTTCCCACTTTCATGGGTTTTCTCTCCAGTATGAATTCTTTTATGTTTAACAAGGACTGATTTCTTATTGAAGCCTCTCCGACATACACTGCATTTATGTATTTTCTTTCCACTGTGAATTTTCTTATGAAGTAAAAGCGATGACATTCGACTGAAGGCTTTCCCACATTTTATGCACCAGTGGACATTCTCAACAAAGTGCATTTTCTGATGTATACTGAGAGATGGGCATTGACTCAAGGCCTTCCCACAGTCAAAGGTTTCCTTTCCATCATGAACTTTCCCATGTAGAATGAGGGTTGTTCTTTGAATGAAGCTTTCCCCACATTTATCACATTTATGGCTTTTCCTTCCATTGTGAATTCTCTGATGAAGAATGAGGGATGAGATCTGTCTGAAAGTTTTTCTACAATTACTGCATTCATAAGGCTTCCCTCCAATATGAGAGTTTTGATGAAGTTTAAGAGAGAAGCTTTGACAAAAGATTTTCCCACAGTCGTTACATTTTAAAGACTTCTTCCCTGAATGTACTTTCTTGGTTTTTACCAGCACTATATTTTTCTTGCAGCCCCTCTTTCCTGTGGGAACTTTTTGTGGTGCAGAAACTGGTTTCTGATAGATGCTTTGCCCAGATTTGTTGCACTGATTTGGAGGTAACTTCTTGGTCTCACATTTAGACCCTGAGTCTGAAAGACATCAAGAAATTAAATGTTTGTTTTCCTGTGCTGGAGAAATGAAGCGTCTATGCAGTCATTATCATTATCAAAATAACAATGATGTTAACCAAAACAATTACTTTTTAGTGTCTTATTATGGTTTTAACATAGTAAGGACTTTACAGAAATAGATAATAAATAGAATTCAGGAAAGTTTGCAATTTGGAATAAATAGGAAAGTCTTATTTGTAGGATAAATTTATGCCATATACCACATTAAACTCCATAGGTTGTTCATTAGATGAATGTAGTTTTATTATATGAAATGTCTAGAAAAGGCAGAAGGTAGAATACAGACAGAAGGTGGATTAGTGGTTGCCTGGGGCTGGAAGTGGGAACAGGGATTAACTGTAAATGGGCATGAAGGTTCCTACTGGGGTGAAAAAAATGTTCTAAAACTGGATTGTGGTGATGGTTGCACAACTTGGTAAATTTATCAAAAACCACGGAATTATACACCTAAAATAGGTGAATTTTACAACAGGTAAATTATGCCTCAATAAAGCTTCTATTTAAAAAATGTATTCTTAAAATAAAAAAAAAAACAAACCAGACTTCTGGTTTGTGGTTTCTCATGTAAGAAGCTTGGAAGTTGCCACTTCGTCCTAACAACAAATAAAAAGCTAAACAGACTGTAAAACCAACAACTCCTCTTGAATTCATAAGAGAGAGAAAGACACAGAGCAAACTGCTGCCTCCAAGACTGCAGAGACAGACAGAAGAATACAGGGAGTCACGGCTTAGCAGAGCAGAGACTCACAAGCAAAACTACCACAGGAACTTGTGCTGGGGTAAGAAAACCTGAACTGTAATTGATGAACTGCTGGAGGCTCAGTGCTGACAAGTCTGACACTTAAAAACTCCAGAGGCACCTAATCATAGGGGGACCCCTAAAATATTGTGAGATTTACCTTTAGGAGCGTGATCAGATTCTCACTGTAAATAGCAGAGAAAAATCCTCTTGGGCTGCCAGCAGGGAAAGGGGAAAAGAAATCACTTTGAAATATGCCAGAGCACTCTGTTCCTCTTAACAAGGTCTGCCCTCAGGGGAAACTAGTTAACCAGAGCCTACTCTGCTGAGGTATTATCAGAGCCTAACTGACCTGGAGAAATGGAAATACCCAACTCCAGCTGACTTTAGCCTTCCATGTGGGAGAAGGGAAATACAAACTACAGCCCACTCTACCCATCCTGTCCCACCTAAGGGGGGAGAAAAAACACACACTTGTGATGTTCACATTCCAGACGCACATGCTCACTAAAAGACTGAGACCTGATCATAGGACTACAGAATGCTTCCCCTCCTGCTACCCCTCACCACATTACTAAAGGCCTATTTACAGCAATTCTTTCTAACTCATACATCAACGTTCAACTATCAAGAAAAAATTAGAAGGCATACCAAAGGCAAAAAACACAATTTGAAGAGACAAAGCAAGCTAAGAACCAGACTCAGAGATGGCAGGGACGTTGGAATTATCAGACGAGGAAATTGAAACAACTATGATTAATATGCTAAGGGCTCTAATGGACACAGAATGGCGATATAAAGCACAGAGATGGAAATCCTAAGGAAGAACCAAAATGAAATGTTAGGAGATCAAAAATGCTATAACAGAAATGAACAATGCCTTTAATGGGCTTATTAGATGTGACACAGCTAAGGAAAAATTCTGTGAGCCAAAGGATTTATTAATAGAGTTCTCAAAAACTGGAAAGCAAAGAGAACGAAGACTGAAAAGACAACAGAATATCCAAAGACTGTGGGACAACTACAGAGGAAGTAACATATGCGTAATGGCAATACCAGAAGAAGAAGAAAGAGAGAAGAGAAGAAATGTTTGGAAAAATACTGACTGAGAATTTCCCCAAATTAATGTCAGACACCAAATCAGAGATCCAAGACACTCAGAGAACATCAAGCAGGATAAATGCTAAGAAAACTAGACCTAGGCATGTCATTTTCAAATTGAAGAAAATTAAAGATCAAGAAAAAATCCTGAAGAAATCAGAGGAAAAGAAGACCTTACCAATAGAGAAACAAAGATAAGCATTACATCCAACTTCTTCTCAGAAACCACGTGAGCAAGAAGAGAGTAGAGTGAAATATTTAAAGTGTTAAGAGAAAAAAACCACCATCCTAGAACTTTCTGTGCCCTGTGAAAATATCCTTCAAAAGTAAAAGCAAAATAGACTTTCTCAGACAAATATTGAGGGACTTTAATGCCAGTAAATCTGCCTTGCAAGAAATGTTAAAAGAAGTCCTTTAGAGAGACAGAAAATAATATAGGTCAGGGGCCGGCCCTGTGGCTTAGTGGTTAAGTGCTCGTGCTCCGCTACTGGCGGCCTGGGTTCGGATCCCGGGCGTGCACCGACGCACCGCTTGTCAGTCACGCTGAGGCTGCGTCCCACATAGAGCAACTAGGAGGATGTGCAACTATGACATACAACTATCTACTGGGGATTTGGGGACAAAAAGGGAAAAAAAGGAGGAAGATTGGCAATAGATGTTAGCTCAGGGCCGGTCTTCCTCAGCAAAAAGAGGAGGATTAGCATGGATGTCAGCTCAGGGCTGAGCCTCCTCACAAAAAAAAAAAAAAAAGAAAATAATATAGGTCAGAAATTTAGATCTACATAGAGAGGAGAAGCATCAGAGAAGGAATAAATGAAAGCAAAATAAGCCTTTTATTTTTCTTATTCTTAATTGATCTAACAGATAACAGTCTGTTCAAAATAATAATAGCACCAATGTATTCGATCACATATGCTTATGTATTTATCTTGTGTGTGTGTATATATATATGCTTATATATAAGTGAAGTGAATGAAAGCAATAATACAGGGGATGGGAGGGAGGAAATAGTATAATTTTATTATAAGGTACTCACACTACCCATGAAGTGGTGTAGTGTTACTTGAAAGTTGTAAACGTATATTGTAAACTCTAGGGCAACCAGTAAAAGAAGTGTAAAAAAACAAAAAGTATAACTGATATGAGAAGAAAGGACAGAAAATATAATCATTTAAAATGCTCATTTGAAACCATAAAAGACAGAAAAAGAGTGGAAGACAAAAATAGGAACAAAGAATAAAGGCAACAAATAAAAAACAGCAACGAATATGGTAGATGTCATCAATAATCACTTTGAATGTCAATGGTCTACAATGCATCAACTAAAAGAGACTGTCAGGATGGATCAAAAAACATGACCCAACTGTATGCTGTCTACAAGAAACCCACTTTAGATAAAAAGGCATACATAGATTAAAAGTAAATGGATGGAGGGGCCGGCCCAGTGGCGCAAGTGGTTAAGTGCGCACACTGCCCTGCAGCGGCCCGGGGTTCGCCGGTTTGGATCCCAGGCGCACACCGACGCACTGCTTTGCGGGCCATGCTGTAGCGGCGTCCCATATGAAGTGGAGGAAGATGGGCACGGATGTTAGCCCAGGGCCAGTCTTCCTCAGCAAAAAAAAGAGGAGGATTGGCATATGTTAGCACAGGGCTGAACTCCTCACATACACACACAAAAAAGTAAATGGATGGAGAAAAATATACCACGCAAACAATAATCGAAAGCAGGAGTAGCTTTATTAATTTCATACAGAGCAGACTTCAAAGCAAGGAAAGTTATCAGGGATAAAGAAGGGCATTACATAATGATAAAGGGGTCAATTCCTCAGCAAGACATAATTCTTAACGTGTACACGCCTAACAACGGAGCATCAAACTACATGAGACAAAAACTGAAGGAACCACGAGGAGAAATAGATAAATCCACTATCATAGTTGAAGACTTCAACACCCTTCTCTCTGAAACAGACAGATCCAGCAAGCGGAAAATCAGCAAGAACATAGTGAACTCAACCACATCATCATTCAACTGGATAACTCAACCACATCATCATTCAACTGGATATAATTAACATCTACAGACTACTTCATCAAACAACAGCAGAATTCACATTATTCTCAAGCTCACATGGCACATTCATCAAGATAAACTATATTCTGTACCATAAAACACAAATTAAATGGAAAAAGAACAGAAATCATAAAATGTTTGCTCTCAGACCACAATGGAATTAAACTAGAAGTCTGTATGAGAAAGATTGCTTGAAAATCCAAAAATACTTGGAGATTAAACACACATTTTTATTTTTTTAATTTATTTTATTTTTTTGTGAGGAAGATTAGCCCTGAGCTAACATCTGTTGCCAATCCTCGTCTTTTTGCTGAGGAAGACTGGCCCTGGGATAACATCTGTGCCCATCTTCCTCCATTGTTTATATGGGATGCCACCACAGCATGGCTTGACAAGCAGTGCATTACTGTGCACCCAGGATCCGAACCCCAGGCCACCACAGTGGAGCACGTGCACTTCACCACTACGCTACCGGGCCGGCCCCTAAACAACACACTTTTAAATAACACATGAGTCAAAAAAGAAATCTCTAGAGAAATTAAAAAATATTTTGAACTAAATGAAAACGAAAACCACTTATCAAAAATTTGTGGGATGCAGTGAAAGCAGTGCTTAGAGGGAAATTCATGGCACTGAATGCATATATTAGAAACGAACAAAGATCTAAAATCAATAATCTAAATTTCCCCGTAAGGAAACTAGAAAAAGAAGAGCAAATTAAATCCAAAGTAAGCAGAACAAAAGAAATAATAAGAATTAGAGCAGAAATCACAGAAATTGCAAACAGGAAATCAACAGAGAAACACAAGGAAACCAAAAGCTGGTTCTTTGAAAATCAATAAAACTGATAAGCCTCTAGCTAGGCTAACAAAGAGGAAGAGAGAAGATATAAATTACTAATATCAGAAATGCAAGAGGGGACATCACTACAGAACGTATAGAAATTAAAAGGATAAAAGACAGAACTATGAACAACTCTATGTCCATAAATTTGATAACCTAGGTGAAACTGACCAATTCCTTAAGACACAATCTGCCAAAATTCACATAAGAATAGACAATCTGAATGGACCTATACCTATTAAAGAAATTGAATCCATAATTAATAACCTTCCAAAACAGAAAGCACCAGGCCCAGATAGGTTCACCAGTGAATTCTACCAAAGGAAAAAATCATACCAATTCTCCATAATTTCTTTCAGAGGATAGAATACTTGCTAACTCATTGTACGAGGCCATCATTACCTTAATAATACCAAAATCAGAAAAGACACCACAAGAAATGAAAACTACAGACCAATATCCCTGATGACTATCGATGCAAAAATCCTAAAAATACTAGCAAATCAAATTTAACAGCAATTAAAAGGAACATACACATGAGCAAGTGGGATTTACACCTAGAATGCAAAGATAGTTCAATATGGGAAAATCAATCAATGTAAGACATCATATTAACAAAATGAAGGACAAAAACTACATGATCATCTCAATTGATACAGAAAAAGCTTCTGACAAAATTCAACATGATAAAAACAATCAACAAACTAGGATTAGAAGGAAACTAACTCAATATAATAAAGGCCATAATTGAAAACCCGATAGCAAATATCACAATAAATGGGGAAAGACTGAAACTTTTTCCTTTAACATAAGGAACAAGGCAAGGAATGCCTACTCCACCACTACTATTTGATGTAGTACTGCAAGTTCTCGTCAGAGCAATTAGACAAGAAAAATAAAAGCCATAAAAACGGGACTAGAAGTAAAATTCTCTCTGTTCACAGATGACACGAGTTTATATGTAGAAAACCCTCAAGATTCCACACAAAAAAATTGTTAGAACCAGGCCGGCGCCATGGCTTAGCGGTTAAGTGCGTGCGCTCCGCTGCTGGCAGCCCGGGTTCGGATCCCAGGCGCGCACCGACGTACTGCTTCTCCGGCCATGCTGAGGCGGCGTCCCACATACAGCAACTAGAAGGATGTGCAGCTATGACATACAACTATCTACTGGGGATTTGGGG